TTCCACCCCTGGGCCAAGTGAACCCATCCGCCCCCCTAAACAATATGCGGAGGTGGCCCCAGCATGGGAACCTTTTGGAGGCCTCCGGAACCCTGGCACCCAGCAGCTCTATGCACCCCGAAGCTCTCTGACATCCGGAGCCCTACTTGGGCATGAGGCAAAATAAAACCTTCAGGGGACCGCATGTTTCAGTCTTTGGTTCCATTTACCAGGGTTCCATTTTGGGTACGCATTTTTGACCCACAGCCACTTCAGCTTTGGTTTGTATGTATTTCAAAGGGAAGTTCAAAGAACAACACAGCAGCAAACGCAACATTAAGCAACAGCAACCTTTCTGCACCCTTCCGGTCCCACCCGGAGACGCTCCACACCACTCCGGAGCTTGCTCAGAGACCCCATAGCTTTCGGTTGGGTGCTTGGACCGGGATGTCCAGGATGGTGCTGGCGCCCATCGTGCTCTACTTCATCGCTGCCTGGGTGGACAAGCACCTCGAATTTGGATCTTTAACCTCGGAAACTGTTTTCCAAGTTGACTACTTTCCCAATCACTGAAGTCCACTTGAGAACACGTCTTTTGTTTATTTAAACGCTGACCTGCAACTCAGTTTGTCGGAGAAAACATCGCCAGGCACCTCTTTCGGCCCCGCGGGGAGCATCGGGCAGAGGCGTTCTGGGCCACGGCCTTCATTGTGTCAGCCATGCCCACCGCCAACAACATGCGCCACGGACTGAAAGCAACCCGCTGGCGTCCCTCGGTTCTCCCATCTTAAAGGGGAGACCCAAAACAGGCATGGGGGGTTTGTCGGTTTTTTGCCAAAACAAAACCTTCACAAAGGTGAACACGGATATTTTCATGTATTTTCGATGGGACTACCCTTTTTTTTGTGGGTTTAAAATGGAAGGTGTAAGTCAATTGCCCTTGAGGCTGGCCTAACGGGAAGCCAAAAGTAAAGCCATTTTGTGGGGATAACCATCCTGGACACATACCCAGAATAGCCTAGGAGGCATCTCACTCCCTGACAAGATCGCGTTTGTTTCTGGCCAATCCATACAGGAACTGGGAAACTTGGCAAGAGGCCAACAACAAACATGAAACGGATAAGGAGAGAAATTAGAACGCTCAGCTTCAAAAGAAGAAGACGCAGAAGAAGACAACAGAAGGATACTATGATGGTGAGGGTTATAAAATGGATAATCTCATAATGATGGTAGTGACGGTATTCGCTGTTCAGGTGCCTGTAGCAAACAGACTTATGCCACCAGTTTAAAGGCCACTTGCTTTGAACCATAGCCCGGGGTATACCGTACCACCAACAAGCGTGGAAGTGATTGGAAGTGCACCAGCCCCTCTTGGAAGCCGGCTCTCTTTTTGGGAAGGACGCTTGTGTACTTCCCGGTGAGTTGCTGGCACCGTGCTACTAGCACACTAGGATGTGGATCCTGTTTCAAGGCATCAGTCAACTGAGCAGTGCGAACACCGGGCACCCTTGCCCATGTCGGGCCTTTGACTTTGCAAAAGCTAGCCAAAATGACCCGTTTCAATTTGGCGACGTTCGACCGTTCGGAGTTTGCCTCATGAAAATGCAGAGAGGGGTTCTACACCTTGAACTCCCTCAATCCAAAGGCAACCTCAATTGGACACCAAGGAGGTTGGCCAAACAATGTCTTCGACAACTCACATTGTGGTTCTCCCCCCACCGGAAGCTAACTAGCCTTGCGAGGTGGCTCCAGTCCTTAGATCAACCGCCAACACTCGACTCGCGGCGCCTATGGATTGACTTTCCAGTTGTTCTCCCTCCAAGACGATTTTCCACCTCCGAAAAGGAATCTAATTCGAGATATTTTGGACTTGCATTTCGGGTCACGCAAGGGCTTATTGGGGGAATCCCAATAGTTCGGCCGCCAATTTTATGGTGAGCTCACCGGTTCGGGGGTGAAACGAGCCTACCACGTAGTCCTCCAAAACTATGTTTTATTTCAGGGTGCACTAAATGGGAAACATAATCTGAAATACACATTTTCTGTGTACCCCAGTGAGCCAAGGAAAGTCCTTCACTTGAGAACCCCTTAGTATTTCAGACTGTAACATCGCGATATCCGGACCCAGTTCAGTGGATTCGATTCAAATCCCCTCGCTTTGTAGTCCCACTCAACATGGCCTTTTGCCTGGTATCTCAGAGAAAGCCAAGTGGAATTCTACGAAGAAACAAGGGGCACCCCTTTCCTCGTTGGTGGATGTAGGGAAACCCTACCGCGGGGGGCCACTGGGCAAGGAAATCACCGTGTCGCATAGGGGGTGATTCCAATTGGTGGGCTGACCATTGGCGTTCCCGGCTGGAGGAAATTCTCGATGGTGTTTCCCAGTAACCCAGGACAGGAATCAAAGCTATTAGCTCTTCGAGACATACATGCTCTTTTTTTTGGCATACATTGCTCCGTTTTTCTGGCAAAATCGAAAGGATCAGCTCGCCGGCTCCGACCAACCCGAGGAGCACGATGGCAGACTTGATCGGCAGCGGGCGCTCCATCGCGGCGGCGTCCACGGCCATGCAGCTCATGGCGGCCCCAGCGCCTTGGGATGGAGAACAGTTGGGCCAACTGGGGTGGCTGGCCTTAAGGCCCTTTTTTTTGGGGGGAGGGTTTTGGGGGGAGGGGTTGTGGGTGTCCGGAAGTTTGCAATTGTTGTTGCCTTGCCCAAGCGTCAATGAAGTACAGAGCCTTTGGACCCAATAGCTCTAAGCCATAGCACTTGATCGAATACTCAGTAGGCCGGCACTTGTCCCTTTTGGTCCATTTTGAGTCCAGGTCTCAAAGGGTTACTCCTCTGCAAATCAACGTGTGGGTGAGCGCAATAGGAGGATCCGCTAAACAATGGCTTTGGGCTTCCATATGAATCTGCAGGGGGGGCAACCTCATATTTCCAGGTTGAACAGTTGGTTGGACAGGTGAGAGTTTCACGCCGATCTTAGACGGTAGCTTCACTCAGCCTTGCTCAGGTGGTGCTGGTCGCCTCGCTTAGCATGCCACTTGGCTCGAGGTTATGGCATGCCATGCTCCTACGATAGTTGGTCAGCATTTCCGGATTTGTCTATTGTCAAGTTGAAAAGGACATGGGGGGACTCTAAATTTCCCACGCAACCCAGCCGACGCCCAAACTTTTCGTGCCAAGTGGCCCTGTGGTGTGCCAGACGACCAAGGATGTCCAACTCAGCATACTGTACCATATGGCCAAGGCTTACGTGAGTCCTAATCATTCCAGCATTCAGGTTCCCAGTTGTTAGTGGCTTCCACCCCTTTTTTTTTGGTTGCCTTGATGGGGGAGAAGTGAAGGATGGTCGTGGCCCTCAAAAAGGGTTCCACTCGTTTTCTGCCGGGTAACTGGGCAACTGGGACCAGGTTCAGTTTGCAATGATGGTACTACAGACGCTTCCTCCCACTACTCTCTTGCAAAGGGGGGCCTCCCCCAAAGGAGATTCCTTTGAAGTTTGTTGTTCAACAGCTGCGACACAGCGTTCTGGGGATGCCAGCTTTCGATTGCATGTGAACCTGCGGGATTGTATAGCACTTGCGGGGTCGGATTGTTTTTGATTGGTGGGTTGGATCGGTTGCTCGCTTGCTGTCGAAGCCTTTGATGGGGAAGGGCAGAAAAAGCGAATTGGGGGACCCCCCCCCAACCCTCCCCTTCAAGGTAGGGGGGATCCTCAAGCCACAACACCAAACCAAACCACCAACTTGTCGGAAGGTGCCAGATACTCTCGCCCTGGCCAAGGCTCTTGTCTTGCGCGGAGGATCTCGCTGAGCATTGAGCGCTCCAACTGTAAATGTTCGATTTTTTCTACAGGTTTTACTCATTCAGAGCCCCGCAAGGGGAGCCATTGGAAGGTGACCCATGGTCTCAGAGTCTATGAGCTCGGCAATGGCTCCACTTGCTCAGTGGAGAATCCTGTGGATTCCTTTGGGTGACGTGGCTTCGGCATCCACCTTGGATGCGAAGAACCGTCTCCAAGGCCCAACTTTTCTGCCGCCGTTTTCCATCCGGCCTCGGGCCGCAGGCTGAGAGTTGGACCGAACGCAGGCTGCTGGGTGGAGGCGGCTCAAGGGTACCGGCGTACCAGCCTAGAAAAGCACCCCCCCAATCCTTAGCGGGATGGCTTTCTCCGCGTGAAGAGCAAACAGTTCGGCTCCTTGCCCCCTAGAAAGGGTCTGAGCTCCTAAGAACCTTTCCTGGGAGCATGTGGTGTCCTCCCAGGGGAAATTGCGAGACGCAAATGCCCAGCCTTGAGCGCCAAGCCTTCGCTGCCTGTGCCAGAGTTTATTGATTTTCCCTCTGCTTCCGGGCTGGATGTGTCACACATGGCAATGACCGTTGCATTCTGTGAGCCAGACAGGTGCGCGCAGAACTTGAACAGTTCATGGATTGAATGCTCATTGATACGCCAACGGGAGACGCGGGTGAACAATGAGGCTGCTACAATATTTGTTGGGGATACTGTATTGTCTAGTCTGACAGGGCATGGTCAGGAAACGTCGTTGAAAGTATACCATAGCAAGGAGGCAATCACCCACTGCCTTGAAATCCTCGCACGCAAGAGGCAGAGGGGCGAACAGCGTGGGGCAGACTGAGCATTCTAAGCCACGAGTTTGCAATTTGACCATACTTCTTTTTTATGGTGGTGCACTGGGGTTGGGCCAAAGTGTGCTTTTCGATTTGCTTCTTTGCGAGAGGATCGTCTTTAGACCTGCGTATTTTTTTGGTGAGGCAATCCAGGAGCCTTTCCGTGTCGCATGTGGCTTTGGGCCGAAGACCGGACTTTTCAACTGGGGAATACCATGGAGAATGCCAAAAAGATAATGAAACAGCTGAACTTCTAGAATTTGGGGCCCCAAGCAACCAGTGGTGCCGGTTTCTAGAGGGTTTCCCTTTAAAATCAAGCACGTACCAGAGAAACGAGCGCCCTCTTTTTGCATGGCCCGATGGCTTGGGCTCTCAGTTCGCCAAGGATTTACCTCAGCTCTCCGAACAAACAGGCGCCGGCCCGCCGGTCGATGACGGAAGGGGCGTAGGGCTGCCAGTCCTGCGGTGGTGCCCTTTTATCTTCTTGTTGAGGGAGGTCCCCCCCCCAAACAGCAACAAAACAAAAACAAACACAAAGTCAGCTTCCGAGAAAGGGTGCTCCTTTTTCCCATCTGTTTTCTTTTTTTCAGCTGAGCAAATGGGCAGCGGTTGGCCTTACCAGAAAGCCATTACTGTAAACAGTTGAGCCAGAGTGACTGAGGTTTGCAAGCGCCCAGCCAGGGGTCAATATTCAGGGTCCGTTTTGGCACCTCCATGTTCCTTTCGTAGTGACAGATTCTGCGAAGTGGACTTGGCCCCGGCGGAGTGAGGAGTTCAGGTACTTTTCGCTGCATTATCCTTGTAAAATCCTTCGAGGCACTAAAAATGAAGAGAGCGCTTCCAAATGCATTCCCTTCCATTCTTTCCAGGACCATGCAGAGCCTCAGGGAAGCTGCTGAATATGTCCCCTTCAAGTGTTACCTCTGAGTCTTTTCTCTGAGCAACGCCTTCAATGTCAACAGAGGACAAGCGCGTGTGTTGCAAACTTGAACACGGTTCCTTGCATGGAGGCTGTGTCCTTTGTGGGGGCCAAGATGTCCATGGGAGCAATGGGCACGTTGCCTCAGCTCGTTTACGTCGCGTCGGCCAGCTAAGACGCTCCCCAGAGACATCGCTAGTTCAAACGGTGCATGTTTGGAGAATCTGGTTAGGCAAGGCTCCACCGTCCATGTTGGGGTCAGTCAGGCACCCACTTCAGTTTCGAATGAATGTGGGCCTTTGAGGAATGTGAAGCCAGCACAACTACGTGTCATTCGGGGCGGGTTTCCGCAATGTTGGCCTGGCAGGCTTGCGCATGGCGAGGAGTGTACGCATGGCCAAGGTGGTGAAACGCATGTTGGCCCTGGACATATTGTCTTAGAAGGGACCTGCTGGTAGGTTCCGTGTTGGAGGGTATTTACCTGAAACATGCCCTTCCCCCCCAAGAGAAGAAACAACAACGATGTGTTGTTTGGCTCCAAACTGACCCCGAAGATTTCAAAAGGATGCCCGGAGATATGGCTCGAGCTGGGTAGATCCCATGGCGGTCTTGGAATGGAGCCTGTTGGCGGCGATGAATGCAGAAGCCTACGGGCAACGGGAAGTGCAGGCGTCAGGATACACACGCTTCAGTGTCACTTTGGTTGAGAGCCGTTGGCGTTTCCATGACTCTTTGAGAATAATTATTGAACGGAGTAATGTAGTTAATACTTATTGAATGGAGTAATACAGTTAACCATGTTTTAGTGGGAATGACCCAAGGTTTAAAGGGTCATGAAGAGAATGGAGACCCCAGGTAGATACAGTACACTGCGCTTTGTTTGGTCGATGTTTCGTGTACCATCCGTTCTTCCAAAAGGATCGGCTCATGATGCCGTCCCATGGCTCGGGAAATGGGCCATCAGCAACACTCACAGAAAAGTCAGCGGTTGGAAGTGGCGACAGGGGTGGTGGCTCATGTGTTGCACTTTGAACATGTGATTCGCTATGGCAGTAGCTGTGTTCATGCAATTCCAGGAAAGCTTCGTGGTGTTGTCCGCCTGTTCATAGTGGGTGCACGCCGTCGTCCCACAAGACAGCACTTTGGCCTCAGCGCAGGGATGGAACTCTGAAGTGCTGGACGTCGAATCTGGATCCGTCCTATACTCTCGCGAGGGCGTGCACGTTCTAGTTGTTCCAGGCGGGGCTGCCAAACGAAAAGGCACTCGAGAGCTTGGTGGAATTATTTGGAATCATGGCAGTAAAAAAAAGCTGTGAGTTCAAGGAGTTCCTATCATTTGGTATCACAGAAAGGGTTAAGTTATTTCCACAAACCATTCTTGGGTGTTGTTTTTCCAGGGTAATTACCTTGTTTGGGAGGTGGTTTAAACAGGGGAACACCAACAGGTTACATACAGTGGCTTGGCTCCACTGGGTTCCCTTTGATCCCCGGATCCATAGGGATAAGTCATGCGAAGGGGTTTGGTTCTGCATGTTTGGGCCTCCTCCCCCCCCCCAAAGGAGGTGTAAAGGGAAATCAACAGGAGAACCGAAGTCCAGTTTGGGGGTGGCCATTTTTGACACAATGACACACACACACACATACACTCCCATATGCACGTGCCGAGGCGGTGCCACCGCAGATCGGGCCAATTTGTGGAGCGACGTTGAAGCGGCGCGTGCGGGGCTTTCCGATGATCCGGTGGAACTCGAGGAGGCGCTGGCCCGGGAAGCCAGTGATGCCCGGCTGTGCGTCTCAAAATTGAGGGAATGGATCAGTGCCCCTTAAAGCATGCATTTGGACCAGTGAGCAAATCACCTCAGCTGCTGTAGAGGATCGCCTTATGAATCAGGAAGTGTCCAGTAAAATGAGCAGCAGTTTTGTTTCTCGCAAGAAGGGCAGTTTGCCATTTTCTTAGTAAGCCGAGTTTGTTTGGGTCAGAAAACGGTTCCTACCACCCTTCCCAGACACTTTCCACTACCCCTAAACCTCCACCCAAAGCTTTTGATTCCCTATCGATTGGATCGCAAGTGTTTATAACATGTTTCGGGTTCCAAGGACTGTGGCAGCATCCAGGCCAAGGCGCAGCTGGTCCTTCAGCACTTGGAGCGCTTCCCGGTCGATGGCCAGGGCGGCGTATACCTCACGGGCCACTCGCTGGGCGCCAGCGCATGCGCGGTGGCTGCGGCGAGGTTCGGCGCCTCGGAGCGGCTGCAGGCGGGGCGTTCTTCAAATGGATCCCCAGCAATGGAACCTGACGGAGGGGTCCTGGAAGACCATTTTCCTTTTTTGTCAGGTCCCATGTTCATTGGTGGAGGGTACATTATTTTTGCGAAAGGAGTAGCCCCAGTTTTGCTGACTTTCCCCGCAGGATCACAAGAAGCCAAACAAGGGTGGGTTGCGAAGTTTGCGGTGGGCTGTGTCAATGGCTTAGTGCATATAATACCCCCCCAAATATATATATATATATACATATATACACAAAAAAGCACCCTGCTCGCCTGTTTGCATTTGGGTGGTCTGGTCTCCAAGGAGAACTGTCCAGCATTGTGGTGGTTGAGAGTCTTCGCGCCATGGGTTCGTTTCAGAATCGGGGCACCACCCCAGACAAAAAGGGTGGAGGTCTTCCACTTCAGGGAGTCTAGACAACCCTGGATCGAACCAAAAAGCGTCAAACCATCCCTTGGGGTGGGCGGTCATCAACCGCAGCAGTTATCATAAGGGTTTCTCTTGTGGGCTCGAACCATTGGTGGCCCGCATTCGGTCAACATGCCCAGTCTAATTTTCACTCGGGAAGGATATGCGGGACTCACCATTTCCCCCACACGCAGAAGCACGAGTGTCACTGATAATTGTCCCACGTCTCTCCCCTTGGGGAAAGAAGCAAATTTGATCATCGCGCACGGAAGTTATGACAGGTGGTTCACTTTGAGAGCTGCGGGCTCCCAGCACCTTTGTGGGCCTGGCTGCAGGCCGGGCAAGCCGAGTTGAGATTCCCACCCTGGAGGGGTCCCCCAAACAAGGAGGTGTTTGAAGAACAGAACTTGCCTTTGGAAGCTGCCTGAAATGTGGCTGAGTTCTCTTTTCCCAGGGCAGTTGGAGTGTCCAGATATTTCGAGGCACCTCCTTTTGTGCCATGTGACTAGAACCTTCAGCCTGAGGTTTTGCCTGGCTTCGAGGCTTTGCGGGACAAGGTGGTAGAAATCTTTGGGGGGCCCAACCCGCTGAACGCGCTGCACGCTTCGCGTCACCTGGGGCGCCAGAAGTTTCGGGTGAAGCTGCCCCACGGTTTGCCGGAAGCCGACGCTCAGAGAGTTGGATTACTTGAGGTCTGGGCGACCAGAACAATTGTCTTGTTACATGCAAGCCCTGAAGAGGCTTTGCTTGAGGTTGTGACTTGCTGCAGTGACTCTTTGCCCTGACTTAAGTTTGCTATTTCGACCTTCCCGGTTTGCAGGGGCGGCACGGATGTGATACCAGTGAAAGCGCCCTGGTGAAAAGCAACTTTCGGTCCGCCCATGGTCCGCCCCTTTTTCAAGTTTTTGCAGGGCCCTGCTGTTTCGAGCTTTTGGATAGTTCCGTGCGCTGTTGCATGCCGGCGCCCAAGGAGACGCAAAATCTGGCCGCCGCAGCCAGCCTTGGCCGGGCTGCACTGATGGGCGGGGTTTTGCTTGGCGCAGCCGGCGCTGCCGCCGTCGCTGCTGGAACGGGACAAGCGGCGGCCACCCGTGCCATTCAGGCTGGGACCCAAGTTTGCAGTGACAAAACAAAGGCATTGTTCCCCACGTGCTACCCCTTTGTAGGTGCAAGGGGCGTATAACTTTTTCATGCATGGAGGAGGGGGGACAACTCGTTTAACCAGTTTGGGGTGCTTGCGCTTGGCCGACCGGCCGCAAGGGCATGGAAGTCGCTCTGTTGCAGGCTGCACCTGGGCTCCTGCGACAGCTTCCGGATGGTTCGGCCCTGGCGCTGCCCAGCGCAAATCTCGCGACCTTGGCGCAGAGCAGCGGCTGGGCGCTGAGGCAGCACTCCATCCACAGCCTGCAGCTTGCCTCACCCATGGCACCTCTGGGAACTGCTCTGTTTAGGGGAGGTGCGCAGGTGGGCATTGAGAATCATACCTAACACATTCAAGTGAGCTCCATAGAGCTTACTTGGCCCGTTTTAGTGGCACAACAACAATAATAAGTTGAGACTTTGTTGGGCCACCCTGATCTGAGAGAGGCATAGCACCTTGCAGCAGCAGCCTCGGATTCGGCCTGTCAGCTCCTGGCCGGTGTGGTGCTGGCAGCGGCTGACAACCAAAGCATGGCAAGGACTCTTGCTTTAGCTTTTGCACCTTTTGACCTTCGCGCGCGCTGAGTGCAGGGAGGACTTTAACCTTTTAGCAATGGCTATGAACCTGAACAGGGAAGAAGCATGAAGCTCCACCTTAATTATTTCCCCACCCAAGGGTCCTTCACACCCACATGATTCTTCCCTCGCTGACTGTGCTTACCAACCCAGGACTGGTGCCCTTCCACCCGTGCAACTTGGGCATGCACAACTCGGATCCGAGACTCGGCAAAGGGGCCAACTGCTGCGTTGTTTGCGGAGGATGGGGCGCCTCCCCCCGGAAAATCTCCCGGGTTGCTCATGGCTTAGGACCCCATGGCTGGGGAGAACTGATTGAACAGCCCAGACCTCGTGGGTGCAGCAACTCTCACGGCTTTGCTGCCGAGGAATCGCGTCTGGGAGCGCAGGCTCAAGCTTTGGGGAGGCTATCGCTGAGCGGAGTCTGCAGGCGCGGATCGGCTGTCCTTTTTGTAAGAAGGCCAGCCCCCCCCCATAGCGCTCGCTCTGAGAAGATTCTGATAAGTTGGGGCGGTCTTGGAAATCTTCCTAAAGGAACTGGTGTTGAAGTGGGTCCCTCAAGTCCACGTCAGGGGAAGTGTCTTGAAGCTTGGGCTGCCGGAGCGGCAAGCCGATGAGCACGGCGCATAGGAATCCTTTTCGCGACCGGGGAGGTGACATACCCTGATTTTCTGAGCAGGTGATTCGCCTGCTGAAATTTGAAGCCATAGCTGGCAGAAGATTTAACACGTTGCCCAGGGGAGCGGGTCGCTGCCTGCGAGCATTCAACTGCAATGCCTTATGCCTGGGCACATCATAATGCGCTCGGGGGGGAGCACGAGCTAACCCATGATGAAGGGTCTTAGGGAATCCTGCCTTCCAATTTGCGAGTTGTAGCCAACTCTGAGGTCTCCTCCGAAACTAGTTTCTATCCTAGGGAGGCTAAAGATGAAACAGGATCTAGAAATTTCACATAAAGCATAATTTGTGGAGTAGTTGAATTATGTAGCCAGATGTGGCCAAGAAATTGCAGCCAGTTGACCTGCAACAACGGGGATCTATGCACGACATCGCCCAGCTCTGGCGCCAGTTGGGCCAGACCTGCGAGGCACCGAGCTTAGTTCCTTTGTGAAGACACGGAAATCAAGACCGCTTAGGGCTTTTTCTCCATTCAGCCTGCAATATAGTCTTCATTCAGCTTGCAATCTAGACCCTTGTTTTGTCACCAAGAGCCCGGGCATTCCGGCCACAAATTGGGCTGAGATCAGCATTCGGATGATACAAAGGGTGGCCTTCGGGCACTGCTTTCGGCGAGCCATTGGCCGGAACTTGATCGAAGCCGGGTGGACAGTTTGGCCCATTGTTTTCTAGGTCCCCCAGTGGTGCCCTTTTACCCTTTGGGGGAGGGTCCCCTACTAGACTACAGAAAAAGGGGTACCCTTATTCTAACCTCTCTACTGGACCTAGTTTTCCTTGGGCTTCAGGAGCCAGACTGTGTAGCAAGTGGATCCTTTCCTTTGGCCTTTTCACATGTTTCTCTGCTGCCAGGGATTTCTGGACGGAAAGGGACGCTTCGCGATAGAGCGCTGGCCGTCCCTCGTTTCAATCCGGTCCGCACCTTTTTGCCGAGCGGGAATTGCGGCAAAAGAAGGAGCGCGTTGCAGGGCGCGGCGGCGCAGAGGGGTGAGCTCACCACTAAAGTGACGGCAGACCCAACATTAGGGGCGCTTTGGATCTCTGGGGCTAAGGGCTAAGGTTCCTCAGATTTTGGGATTGCTCCCTGGGGCCCGAAGTGACCATTTGTGTTGGTTTCCCAACGACAGGGGTGTTTCGGACGGGTTGAGAGGTCGTTTGCTTTGAGGGGACTCCTACTACGAGTACCTCCTGAAGCAGTGGATCCAGGGTGGCAAGAAGGACGTGCGAAGCCCCAGAGCCAGCTGCAAAGCAAACCGACCTATTCCCCTGCCTCACTCGTCGACTATTCCGCACATGTACGGATTTTATGCAAATCCCAGAGTGTCCAAAGTACCGTGTTTGAGGAATCCCCTTGAACGCATAAATGGTCTACCAAGGCACCCTCTGGGAATCTCAGACGTTCCAATGAGAGATGCAGGTGCGCCTCAAGGATACCTGGAAGCACGTGGGCTCCTCAGCTACCCGCGGGGCCCCCCCCCGGTTGGTGGAGTGGATCGGTGGCTTGGGAATTTGTAGAGGGAGATGGGAAGTGCTTCGCCACCCACGCCACCGGGCTCCAAAACACCAATTGCAGGGAAGCCGATGTCAGATTGCAGGTCAGCTTTTGAGAAGATGCCAAATGAACTTCTTTCTGTGAGAGAGTTCAACTTGCTCTTCCTGTTGGGCATGTGCAAAGACAGGGGGACCTCTCTGCTGGTTTTTCCCTTGGCTTTCCCCTCCAACCAACCCGAAAAGGAAATTGGTGCACCTGCCTGAGGCCATGCAGGAAATGATGGACCAAATGGCCTGGGGCCAAGAAGTCTGGCTTGGCTCAAAGGCCCGAAACAACGGGACCAAAAAGAATGGCTGAGTGAGTCTCCCAAGTCATTTTGGACATTTTGGAAACGAATGGCTTTTGAACAATGCCTGCAAAAGGTTACACTCTTGCCCGGGGGCAAGAGGGCAACTCCTGTGGTGGGCATCATGATCGTTGGATTTGTGTTTGCCTGTTCCCGTGGAAATTCATGGCAGCTTCACTCTTCAAATGAGCTTTTCGTATAATTTTGGGGTTACCGGTTGCTAGGAGGGGGCGTTTTGGGAACTCATGAGTAAAACCTTTGGTTGATTTGTCGAGTGGCGGCCCATTTCAGAGGGGGTGCCAGATTTTTGTCCCCCCCCCCCCCCGCCGCCCTCGTTGCACCAAGTTGATTAAGCTGTCAACATTGCACTCCAACCTCGTTGGGAGGCAGTTTTCCTCGCCCAAGGGAAGGGCCTCATGCAGATAAGCTGATCTCCGTGAAAGTGCCCGTCAGAAGGGACTGGTTGACTGAAGGTGGTGCACAAGCTGATGCCCGCGCATACGTGCCGGGATATGTAACTTGTGTGCCGCACAGAGTTTGAACCCTTGAAAGTATCCCCAAGAAACTGGATTGCAGAATGGCGTCACTTGTATCAATCCCACCTCTTGACCTTGTTGCGTTCCTTGGGGGAAAGGCGAAGCTTTTCTGTTTGGGTCCTTTGGGCCCGTGAGCCTGAAGCAAAGTCAAGCACCGCAAGAGCATCGCCGGCTCGAGAGGTGGTGAAAACTGCCGGGGGCCTGCAGTTTGTGGCGGAGCTGGAGCCAGGGACTTGGGTGTGGAGCTGGGGACGTGAGCGTGCCGTGCTTTGTTGGGGTTGGAGCTGGTGAGATCGAAAGCCTTGCTTTCGAGGTTTCCTTCTGCAGGCTCCAGATGTGTCAAGCTGATCGAGATCAAGGGTGTTTGTGTCTGTTTGGGCCAGCTGTTGATCAACGTAAGAAATCCAGTGACGGCCCTCAACAAGCTGCAGATTGGTTTTCTGCCGAGGGGAGGCCGCAGGCGGAACCGCATGGACCATCTCGCATGCTTCGTGGCCTGGGCCCCATGGGTGAGCAGGGAGGCGTGCGCGACGTTGAAAACGTCCGGACACATCGGGGGCCCTACACGGGATTCCTTAAAGGATGCAGTTGGGCCAGTCAAAATCCTCTTTGCAGCTGAAATTAGGTTCTATGATGCCAGTGGGTTTTGGATATATCCTTCAAGGAATCCTGTTATACTGTATCTAGGCAATTAGGGTAAACTTCTCTTTGGTGGGGTGATTTTTGAAGGGGGAATATAGGTAGCCCCGTTTGATATGCTTGGTTCGCGAGCTTCAGGGGCGGCGCCACGAACGATATGGACAGGACTTGTAGACAAACGGCAGCATTGTCTCTTCTGGCAAGCGGTGTCAGCTTTCGGTCCGCTTTCTGAAGTGTCCACTTGGGTGGAAGAACCACCAGCCTGCGCCGCAAGAGCATTGGCACTGCCCGCCAACGCCTTGACGCCAAGTCGGTGTCCAGAAATGAGGGCATTCCTTTCTTTTTGGGGAGGCTCATGTTAAGGCTTCCCCTACAGGGGGCGGAGCATGATTGAAAATTCTGAAAAGGGCCCGGGGCCATTTGTGATGAGCATAGGGCACATAGGTTCCTGCTTTTGTTTCGACAGTATAGAGTTTGGGCATAAGGGACATCAACAGGAAAGCAAAGGACCTTTGTGTGTTTTGACACACGGCCCAGGCGGGGATGCTGATGTCGGGGTGCCCCAGACGTTGGATTCTTGCCTGGCACACGGGCTCAAATAATCTTACCCCTGAAATTAGCATGAGCCCCAAAAGGGAAGCGTATAACGTACCAAAAGGAGGTTCCTCTAAAATGGCCTGTGTTTGTCGAACGGGGTTGGTTGGGCGTCCAGGACAAAATCAAGTCATGGTCTTGGAAGCAAAGAGTCAGTACTTGTTTTGGGTTTCTCATAAGCGCAATGAGCAGGGATACCCCCCCACCCCAAGAATGGAATGGGGGGGAGGGGCGAAGCCCTGGAATTCCAGTAGTTTCCTGGAGGGATGCAGGGATTGGTCATTGTTTATTGCAAATCAACGAGGAGTTTTCAAGTTGCCAAGCAGCCAGCTGCAGCATCGTAACCTTTGGGGTTGGAGTGCGAGTTTCCTCACCAACCCCAGTGATCAAGCAACGCTTTGTGCTTTGATCCCACGTTGTCGAGGGCCCAAAGAGGGGACACCCCAGCAAAAGGCTCTCAATTGGAACCTCATTCACCCCAATAGGCCTTATTCTTTACTATTAATTAGCCCCTATTGGGATTGGGGCGGGGCGGACTTTTGGGGTTCCCTCAGGACACCTCACGGCATGAGTAGATCATTGAGCCTTCTGGGGATGCACCCCTGCGTCACTGAGGCTGGGAAGCAGGAACCTACCTCCTAATGAGGCACGCCTTGAAACATGAGCAATGCCCGACATTTGTCACTGGTTGTAGGAGATGACATCGGTTACGTTCACCACATTTCCAGTTGAACATGCTTGCTCGCCGAAGGCATGGGACACATTCACCAAATTAACATTTGAAAATGGGGCTTACTCGAAGGCAAGTGTCAGTGGCAACACAAGGAACATTGATCGTGGCTCACTCCGCAAGGGCTCCATTGTTTCTCGCAACTGGATTGTGTGTGTGTGCTTCGCCTTTGGGTCGTTCGATTTTCGGCCCGGGGCGCGGTCCTGCTCCCGCTCAGTGGGACCAATAGTTTTCCCCTTGTTGCAGTCAACCACACAAAAAGGTGGGAAGCCATTTCTCGACGGGTCACTGGGCAACTGGGCATCCCAAAAAGAGCCCAGATGTGGAAGCTTGCCGGCAGGTGGACCCCCGCTGGGAGCCTTTTGCTGCACCTCGGCAGGTAGCTCATGGCATGGCCGGTCCCAAGGATAGTTCAGATTCACGGGTTTTGATTTCGTTGAAGGGGATTTTGTCAGTCACTGGGAACCCCGGATTCATAAACCCCTGATTCAAAGGGGGTTGCCCCCTTTTTGCGGAGATTTATCAGCTTTGGAGGGGAGCATAGTCTAGGGTCAACATGACAAACTTTGTGGCACCAAGATGAGGCACTTGGACCCTTTGACCCGGTTCTTGTCTTGAGCGGCCGTGAGCTTTTGTCCACCAAGGCTGAGTTGACTTACACCTGCTATCAGATGTACGTGTGGCTTCCTTAAATGACCGCCGCGTCGGTGAGCCATTGCTTGTCCTGCACCAACCCGTGTAGAGGAGGGCTTGGCCAAGCCTGAGCATGCAACGCTATTGACTGACTTGATGATTCCATCGTTGGTGCAATGGATTTGTGAGACTGGGAGCCAAGGATTGCAGCGCCCCCTGGTTGTTTAATAGTCAGTTTTCCTTTTTAAGAGGACATTGCTTCCGTTTACGAGATGTCGAAATGATCCTGACGCTACTTCATGTTCACTCTATTCTCTTCACCGCTCCTGTAAGAGTGAGTGTAAAAATGATCCTTCAGATTGTGTTGTGTTCCATCTGTTTTTCCCCAAGGCGGGGCTCCATCTACCCTTGGGCACCCTTGTTTTGGCTGAATCGACCAAAGGCCTCCACATGCCGCGTTTGTTTGACACTCAACACATGTTGCGAGGTGGTCAACTAGAAGAGCCATGCTCTCATGCGTAAGTGGCATAGTTGAGCCTTGCCAACAAACGATTCCATGTGAGAGACAGTTGCATGGTTGGCAAGTGTTCGCGATTCTTCTGTTCACTGCAGCAATAAGTCAATGATGGTGCTGTTGAACCATTTGATTGATCGGAGCTGCGGGTGTTGTACATGGCAACGGTCCAAACTCTTTTGTTCAAAACAATGCCTTTTCGGACAAAGGAATACGCATATACACGCATCACCACCGCCACCATCATCATCATCATCGTCATAATTATATCATCATCATCATCATCATCATCATCATCATCATCATCATCATCATCGTCATCATCGTCATCATCGTCATCATCATCATCATCATCATCATGATCATCATCATCATCATCATCATCATCATATCGTCATCGCCATTATCATCGGCGCCTTCATCAAGGCCTTTGGTGGTGACTTGCTGGCTTGATTGGCTTTATTCCCCAACAAGGCACTTGCTGCAACTGTTCAGTGAGGAGGATGACAAACGAAACAAGACCATTTGTCTCTTGACGTACCTCGGCAACTTTGCCAGCAATGTCCACTTGTTTTACAAGCACTTGTTTGACGGGTTGCTGCTTAAAGGCCATCCGCATCCTTGGGTTGCTAGAGGGTCCCCACAGCCCAGTCCCATGAGACCTGGCCGCGTTTCGGCCGGAAGCTGCCGGAGCCCAGGCGGACGCCCACGGGTCTTTCGCCGGAGTACGTGAACTTTAACGTGAACTCCGGGAAAGCGCGCTCCGGGCGTTGGGCGTCGTTTTGGGGGGGAATGGGTTTGTCTCCAAAAAGCGAAGGCACCGAAAATTGGGTCACCCTGATGGGCCTTGGTCACTGCATGTGCCTTTCACCGTGTGGCTTCTCAAGGAGTTGCGCCTTCCATCTTGCGGGCTAGGTTTCTTAAACTGTTGATTAGTCAGTGTGACGCCGCTTTTCCCATGTCAATTCCTGCCCTAGAGGATCCGAACAGGATCCGGGCAAGGATGGTTTTGGATCACCCCAAGTCTCCGAGCTGCTTGCGATTCCCGGGGAACCGCACGGCAGGGCCAGGACATGTCCATCCCCGGAGACGCGCCGCAGAACCTGCTGCGCCCGGAGGCCGCGGAGGCAATGGGGTTCAAGACGCGGCGGCCCCGCAGCGGCCGGTCTGGACGAGGGGGAAAACCGAAAAAAACGCGGAGGTCACCCGACTCAAGCGACTCAAGTCGCACTTGACTTGAGTCCTTTTGGAGATGTTGTGAATTGAGGCGCTTTTGATGCTGGCAGATTTGATGCTGGCAGATTTGCTCAATCCAGGCCGTGTGGTACATGTGGTATTACACCGGCGACCCAAAGTACCGGCAGTGGGCCGCGGCCCCAGGGCCCGGGACAAGCGAAGGATGGCCGCAAGTGTCCATGGGCTTTGGTGATTTCGTAGAGGGTAGATGGGAAACCACCGCTAACGAACAAACCACGAATCCAACCGCCAATGAGAGGAAAGCTGAAAGATCGAGCTTTTATCATGGATTGCTTTTGCGCAGCAACAGCTTTTCAAGCCAGTCAGCCCAGCATACCTCTTTGGAACCATCTTGCATGACCCTTGGAACATGGTCAATTTCTGTAGGCTTGAACGTTGACCAAGCTCAAAGAATCCAACTTTTTCAGGCTGTCTCAAAAAGTTGTTGGCCCTTTGATCGTTTGGGCTTGCTCTTAGTGGCAGTCGGCCCGCCATATTCGGGTCAACATTTAACGTTTGGGGACCATTTCACATCTTGGCCCTTGACTAAGATGATGAACAAAACACATCTGAAATTCTACAGGATTGAACGTCGACCAAGATATACGGCTACAGACAAATATGTGGAGGGCTGGCCGGGCAGGGCAGGTGGGCCCGGTACTTGTCTTAATGATTCATCCTATGGCCAAGGGATCCCCACTCCTCGGGGCGAGCGACTAAGAAATGAGTTGCGGATTTTGCTGGCTGGCTTTCTTCGGTCCTGGTGCCCTTTGTTGGGCTCCGGTTCTTCCCGGCATGGGAATTGAAAGATCAGCTCGCGGCTGAGGGCCACGAGATGTTCTTACCCTTCCTGAAGTACTCCAAGGCGCGATGTCGGGGGGGGAGGACTCGTGAGTCCTGAGTTGGACTGCGGGGGCCGTAAGGGTTTGAACCAGGGTGGCACTCGATGAGTGAGAAGATTTAGCCGGTCCCCCGGGTCCCTTGAAACGCAAGAACCAAAGCGCGTCTTTGTTTCCCATCCTTTGGAGGTCTGTTGCGATCTTGGTAATGAGCAGGGAAGGGCTTATGCTCCCCAAATTAACACGGAACCCAAAGAGCCGTTATTTCTAGAGGACGCTCCTTTGGGGAGACCCGCTTTTTTTTGGGGGTTCCATGTTGCCGTCTCCAAAACGGTTTTATACTGGAGGTTGACTAAATTTGAAACAGATAAACAGCACCTGGACCTCAAATCATAGAAACCAGCTGAAAAAGTCTACAGACACCCACCCAAAGCCAGGGACTTCCTGAAGAGTTTCTTGTAGCTGGTCTCTTAGACTCCAGGGCTCCTTAAAAGATACATTTTGCACATTTGAAACATGGCTGTTTCCACCAAAATAACGGGAAACAAACAAATGCAAGGCAATGTTCAGGTGTACAATGTAAGGATCCTTGTAATTAGACAGTTGTTTTTTCTTCGTACCCCGTCGGCCCTGACCGAAGCTGCTCCGTGAGGCCAAATTCGGCTTCACCGCCATCGGCGACGTCCGGAAGCGCAACCCGCCGAAGCGGGATTCGCAGGCGCGGGGCTTCGGGGGGAGGAGTGACACGTTGGAGTACCAAAAGCAGGTCAAAGAACACCTGGTTTTTGATGTTTTTGTTTTTGTTTTTTCTCTGGCATGTTGGCTTCTATTGGTCAATGGCTTAGTGTTTAGGATTATGCTTTAATGAATGCATGTTGTGGAATCAGAACTGGAGCTGCACATTGGCCGGTAAGGGTCGCCTTGAACATGTTCCGTGAATCATTGTGTTTGTTTTTTCAGGAGGCTGGGTTGGTTGCAACATGTTAATACCCTATCGCTGTTTTGTTCAGCGAACACAAAAGCTGGCAGTTGCTTAAACATGTAGAAACAGGAGGCTTTGCCTTCACCGGAAGGTCAAAGTAGCAACCTAACCTCTGTCAAAAAAGATTGTTCTTCACGCTCATCGCTTTGCATCTTAGTTTTGGCGCTTCCAAGTCCCCATCTGCTGCCACGCGCGATTCCAGACATTTGGTTTCGGGCCCCCTTGAATTCCGAGCCGCACAAATACTCCCAGGCACTTTTGACAGCTCTCTTTAGGGTCAGCCTCATGATCCCTGGCGTTTGCCTCCGACCAGGTCTCGTTGGCATGATTCCTAACCATGAGTTCGATCATCTAAATAAAAGCCGGCGCCTTTCCACATTAAAGCCAAGGCCAAGGTTCTAGACAAATTTGAACAATGTACTTCCGCTTGAACGGGGCCATGGTAGGCCGCTGGGTATGGGTGTGGCAGCACCTTGTCTGCTAGTGGGTGGGAACTTTAGCCTTTAGCTGCTTGGACACACTTGTTTTCCTTGCAGCTGCCCGTGCCTTAAAAACACCCCAATATTTTAGTTGACACCTCTTTGGCGGGATTTGTAGGCCCACCTGGTGTGTTGCCAGGGCAAGAGCGACCGTGCTGAGCGCAGGAGAGCTTTTGGCTGGGGGAGACCTTGAAGTACTTCTACCTCATCTTCGCACCGCGGAGTACCCTGAACCTCGAGGACCGGCGTCGCATGGCCCTTGGAGCATCTCTGAGTACCTGACCCAGTGATTCCATCTACCTGTGTAGGTAGCCAAGGGGACCCATCAAAAACCAAAAGGGCAATTGTTTTTTAGCTACTATAGTCATAACTGGAATCCACGGGGTAAAGCTCCAGGGTCATGAGAACAAACCCTGCCCGGCGAGTGAGTTTGTATATATTTCTCAGCACCAACCGACAACTCCCATTATTTTCGATGGGCAATGTAGGCGTTGGGTACTTCCTTCCCCGGGGTTCGCAACGCAAGGCTGACCGCATTTTGGCTCGTAGCATTGGACCCGCCTTTTGCTCTCAAAGTGGCGGAATGCATGGATCAACAGATGAGCTTGTTATTGGCTTTCGACTTATGGGTTAGTTTCACACTTAGCTATCGACACTGGGGCCAAAGCGAAACAGGCACCCTTTCCTGCACTGAGACCGGGTCGGCTTTCAAGAAACAACAGCCACAAGTACTGAACCTTGTATGGTCATGTAAGAGCGGTCGTCTTCACCCTCGTCTTCATTCCCGAGGCAGATCAATTCCACCGCCTCCGGTTCACTTGGCAGGGGCACGGACGCTTTTCAATCAATTCGCTACCCATCAGGTGTCACCCTCGCACTTTGCTCAAGTCGCTGTCGTCGCCATGTGCCTGTGACTTGGCCACTCATGCCTGGCTACAACGGCCCCAGCGGCAGCAGCGACGTGTACCGCTGGGCGAATGTGGCGCCCGGGGATGAGGCATCCGGGTCTGTGGAGACCTGGGGGCCCCATTCTCAAAATTTGCCTTAAGGAAAAACGGTTCAAACCACCATTGAGCTCGGGTAATATAACTTTCCTTCCGGGGTGGTTTCACTTAATATGTTTCTCCCCTGTTGGGTTTAACGCGCATCTATCACTACTGGACATGGTGTTATTATGTTTTATTCCTCCAGGCGCTGAAGCTAAGAAAATTGAAGTAATTCAAAAGACTATTTTTGGAGCCTGTTAAGGATGTATCTAGCTTTAAAATGGATGTGAGGTGGAGGTGGAGTTTGACTTGCCGGAGCCCGCCAAAGCAGCGGCAGCTTGGCCCACCTCGGGCGACCCCAAAGCTTTCAGCTGGAGCCAGGGAGGGCTCAAATTGACCAACCCTGGGAAGGGGCTTTCAGCTTGCCAAGGCCCGAAGTGGGAGTACGGGGTTAGGGTGGCCGTGCCATTCCCCACCAGATGTTTTGTCGCATGGTTGTCAGGGGACCCAAAGCGGAGACCGCCTGCAAATGGCACCAAGAAAAGCTACCATTGGGCGGCCCTTGGCAACCATAGGGCTCTGTGGATGCGCGGGAAATAAGCGCATGGAGGGGTCTAGCCTGTTGTTTTTCTCTGGTGGAATGGATCTCAGCCGGCTTTCTGAGGATGTGGAGGTACAGATCCGGCCAAGCCACGTGCGCGTGAAGATTCAAGGAAAGGTCCTTGTTGATGATGACCTTCTGATTCTTGCCTGCTGAATGGTGCCTCTCAACCCAAAAACCAGGCCCACCAAAAGACACTTCTCCAAGCATTGCGCTGTTTGGCTTCATGTGAACCTAAATGGGAGAAACCAAATCCAAGTTTTGCCAGTGTTTTGTTTCATTGGGGGGGAGGCAATCTGTGGAGGAGTAGCCAAACAATTCCATGTCAATCCATTCTTTTGGTTACCATGTCAAAACACATCCGAGGAACCGTTGCGACCATCAGATGTCCCGCTGGGAGATCCGGGGCACACGCCTTGTGGTGGTTCTGCAGAAGGAAGCCTCCTCGACGATCCCCTGGCCGAACCTTGGGTGCTATCTATGGATCTTTGTGTTGTTTCTGCTTTATCTCTCTTGGGGCCTTTTCGTGTCGTTTTCATTTTTTAAGACTCCAGACGTTCATACCTTTCCTGAAGCACACGGCGCGGCGAGAGCTGGAGTTGATGGGGTGAGACGAATAGAACTGCAAACACTTTAGGGGAGGATCATGTTAGTGGCAAACAAAGCAACTGGACTTTTCTTGGCCGATCCATGCCAATTCCTCAGGGAGTGAGATGACTTGTCGCCAGGGTCCTTCTATTTAAGTTATTTGTTCCTTTTGGTTGCCTTTTTATTTTTTTGGAGTGGTTGATTTGCAACGCAAGTACCAAAGGGCGTCTTCGCGTCCCACCCGTTGGAGGTCTGTAGCGGCCTTGGACATTGGACACTATGCGGGTTCTCTCTTGCCACCTCGGCATAGGACACCATCTACATGAGTAGGGGAAGGGCTTATGCTCCCCAAATGAACATCGGACCCCAACAGCCATCGTTTCTAGAGGACACTCCTTTTGGGATACCCACTGTTGGGGTTCCACGTTACCTGGAATGAAACAGGGTCTCCTCCAAAACTATGTGATATTCCGAGTTCTGTGGAATTACCCCGGATATGGGCTATTTTCCCGCTAGGCATGGCTGGTCTTTGGTGCGACCGAATCGCTTCTTAAACCTTTATTTTAGACACCGAGCCTTTTCCATACCTACAAAATGTCTAACAACCTTTTGCCGAGCCCTTGTTGGGAGCAAAGCCGGTAGATATAAATCAGAATCTGAAAGTGTTCGTTTCCCATTGTCATGACTGAGTCTCGCTGTGTGGTGCCCCAAACCTCCACTCGAATTATTGAGGCCACAGCATGTTCCCACAAGCCCGCTTGAAAGTTGCTCTTCTCTTTTTTTCTTTTTTTCTTCTTTTTTTTTTTCCGGAGGAGGGGGGGAATCGCCACCAAGGAACGTCTTCCTTCGGGACTGCGCCTCGATATCGAATGATTCGCTGGTTTCGGGGGGGAGGTCTGTCAGGCCGCGGTTGGGTTTCTGAACAGGGTGAACGGGTAGAACCCGCCTGACAGGTTCAAAAAGAACACGAGCAATATTGAATATATTGTGTGATTATGGATATATTTGTATTTGAAGAGATGATCATGTACACATACAGATGCTCTAGATTATATATTTATGGATGCTAAATAATCTCATTTTCCCAAAAGGACACCAACATGTTCCCCCCCGCTTGCCCAGGTAAGACGACCTTCGACCTGGCAGACGTCCTGTGAACGGCTACCCGGTACAGTGGATTCCCGTCATCTTACAAAACCCCGTTTGGTTTGGTGGCTTCTCCACCTCAACTGGTTGAAATCCACAAACCCTCCTAACCCCGAACCTTAATTCTCCTAACCATGAAACCCTAATACTCCGCTTGAAATCACCCCCAAAAGCATGAATTCCAAGTCAGTTTCCAACTTGCGGGTCAGTTGCAACGTTCCGGTTTTCGGCCGGGAGCAAAAGACCGCCCTGTGGCCGGATCACAGCGTTTCCCGATGGGAATCCTCAGGTGGGCAGGGGTGAGATGGTTGGGGAGATGGCTGTGGGTCAAAACCAATGGTACCATTTTGGGGTAGGTGCACCACCCATTTTGTTCTTTTTTAGTGGGGGTTGGCATGTTCACTGGGGGTACGGGATTTACCCATGGCCATATGGTTGGTTGCACAAGTTGAATGAAATTGTTCAATATCACCTTCCGGAAGGAGGTTGGCGGACATGGTTCATTCATAGTTGCCTATGAAAGTTGACACACAGAATTCTTGGTTTTAAGCGGCGCCCAACACAAAGGCGATTTGAGAGTGCCATCCACCGAACAACTGCCGCCACTTGCTTGGTCTGCTTGGGCGACCATGTCAGCATGCGAAAGGTTCCCGGAACCTCCGACTATCCTTAAAACAGGGAGGTTGCATCCATTTCGGTCAGATTTTGAGAGGTTAAGTCCTCTTCCACCTCCCTGGCGTCAACTTGAGCTCCTTCCAAAAAGGGCCACGGATTGCAGGAGTTTGTGCTGAACACCGAAGCGCAGCCTCTCAAGATGGCACCGGCTGCGGCGCTGAGCGGTGGGCGGGCCATTGGGCGGTTGGATGTTCTGAAGCTACCGGTGCTGAGTAGTCATACTTCTTATAATTTCACAAAATGAACTTTCGTGGGACTTGGTTGTTTCACGCTCCGGGTTGTTTGGCTTGCAGTGCTGCCAGCTTGAAGGCCAACGCCAGTCAGGGACCCAAACTACTTTGCCCGAGATGGCAGCAGGAATAGCGGAACAGCAGAGCAGCAGTCAGTCAAGAGCAGAAGAGCAGCAGTGGCAGTATGAAGCGGACAGCGTCGGCGATGAGGGCGAAAGCGGCCGGCCGCGAAGCCCAAGAAGAAACTCGCTTCGAGGACTGCTGGGCTCAAACTGCAAAAGCCGAATCCTTCTCGGGAATGTCCTTGTCTCCTTCTCGGCCTTTTGTTGATCAAGCAAATGTTCTACGCTTCGGATGGGGAGCCAGAAGCAAGATCTGTTTCAAATCTTGCAAAAAGCCAGAGCCATACCTCGCCTCATGTGAGCATTGGTGAGCTGCCGCTGTAACCGGAAAGATTACTTCCAGCAATTGGCAGGGCAGAAGGCCCAAGTAACCTAAAAACGTGAAGAATGGGGCAAGATCAACTCAGAGGACACAGTCTGACTGTCAGTTGTCGGTGGTGTTTGTTTGCTGGATGGCAGCAAGTACGGGTTCTTGCGGTTTCCCTTACTTAGGGTATAGGTATAGCCCTTTTGGTGAAAGCAGGTGCCCCTAAACCTAACTTTTTGTGGAAAACGATGCCCTAAAACTAAGGAGCCCGTGGTGCGGGCAATGTTCAACTGCGACCAGCAGTATGACCCTGCAAGCCAACCCCCGCCGATTCAGACTTATTTCTCGCCTCTGATATTTAACCTGAACGTTCCAGCCTATCAGAATCTGAGGCACCCGCGTGTGCCAGACACGGCGGCCGTCAAACCCCACCTCTCGACAATCCTGTTTGCGTATCGGCGCTACAGGCCCTGCTTCGGGTGGGGAGCAGTACTCTCCAAAGAACTCGCTCTGGGGAGCGTGATGCACGAACCACAGGCGGGAGAAGGCGCCGAAGCACCCAACCTTTGGTTGCAGACTGGAAAA